GAACACGGTTACTTTTTGTTGATAGATTCAAAAAAAAAATAAAAATGAGAAAATCTTTTATTTTTCTAATTAATTTAAAATACTAGAAATAACAAATTCCTGCGTTGAATACGCAGCGGAGGCAGAGCCCTACGTGTATATTTATACATATGCGTCTGACACTATTATTTTCATTTTATTGCAAAAACATCTTTTCAATCCCTCTAAAAATTGAATACGATATTAGTTTTCTCATATTGCGTGATGCAAAAAAAAAAAATTGGACAAGTTCTACTAACTACTTTCTCATAGATTTCATTTTTATGTGACTTTCCATAAGGTTACGCGTTCAGTTAAAGTTTTATTAACATTTAATATCTGAAAAAAGGTGTTGTGAAACGATCTTAAATTTTGCATGTGATTTTTTAACATCATAATGAATATCCTGTTAAAATTTTAGGAATATTCTACATTCAACGCTATGTGTAATAAATGTCCTTATGTTGGTCCATGATCTTCTTAAAGCTGGAGAAATAAGTGCTTTTTTAATTTATTGCCTCAAGCTCTCCACTTATAAATAATGAAATTTCGAAATTCTGTTCATAAAATGAAATCTTTCAATACGTTTTATGATATGCTATATGGAAACGTTTAGCCTATTTTTTTTTTTTTTTTCGTAAGGTTCAAACATGGTCAAAATTATTGAAAATTTTTTTGCAACGGACAGTATTTAAAGTGAAACTATGAAACATGCCCGTGTATTTTCTATAGCTTTGTATTGTTTGGTTCAGCATGATTCATCGAAATAGAAAATAGTAACTGTGACCATACACCATCTAGAGAAAATCTAGCGTCCTACATAAGTATCAGGTCATAATAAATACATTAAATGTGTATTACAACTTACGTTTATTACAACAGCCCTTGACAGCGTTACTCGTGGATTATGCATACTATCCTGAACAGCTTCACTGAAAGATTTTGGAGATACGTTAGACAGTCAGTAATAAGAACCTAACTTCTCCCTTAAAAATTTTATAACGACAACCTGCAACATCACAAACGGCTTTATAAGATTTTATTCTTTCTCTTCAGCGTGGAAAGAGGTATACGGTCGTCAACCAGGAAAATTAATTTGCTCCCCCTTGCGAGAACGTATACAAATATATGCATTAGCTAACTTTCGTTGCCTAGCAAAATCAGCAAAAGCATAATGCTCATCCGTCTAACCAAGTCTTATCTCTCCAACAGATTTATTCTCTCTTTCACACCAGCCTGATTACATGCAAGACTCTCCAAGGCTTCATACTCTGACTTACCCTTTTAATTTTTGTATCACAATATAGCCCAGGATAAAGACATCAACATGTACGTCCAAGCAAATGACGTTGGAGTCAGCAGTACGTCAAAAAACACTCTCAGTGCACTACCCTACCAAATGAGTATGAAGTTTATTACTCTCCACAACTGGTATCATCTGTATAAACTTGTTGTCAACGAAGTAAAGACTATAGCCATGCTCATTTTCTGACAAAATTAAAGAAGAAGCACCAGAAAGTAAGGGTTAACGGAGTAGCGATTGACTGGAGCTACACTACCAAGTATCTTGGTGTCGCGCTAGATCAGCGACTACTGTGCTCTCAGTATATTAACAGCACTTGTGACAAGATACAGAGTGCCTTTGAGCGACTATAATCGTTTTTTAATAACAAAGTTGTCTCCCAGAATACCAAGCAGCAAATTTTTAACACTATTATTGGAAGCATTAGCACCTACGGGGTTCAAACTTGGGGCGCTGCAAGAAAAAATCGAGTAAAGGGCATCCAAGGCCACATCATTAAAATACTTCGCTCAGTTTTTGTATTCTCTGGTACATTAACAGTACACCCTAGGTTTTTCATTCCTTATGCTTTTTTTGGATGCATTTCTATGATTTGCTAAATAATCACGACTTCAATTCACACGAGAAGCACTCAATCTGCTCACTAAACCCGTTACGGCCTTGACACAATTTCAACACTAACAAAAAATCGCAAGTACGTTTCCAAATACATAAGACACATCAGACTCACATATGACACACTAACACTTACAACATACTTAGTTCCTCTAACTCTATTCCAGCGCAAGCAAAGTTTAGAGCTTTACTTAGATGAATTAGTGCTCTCCTCCCACCCCTTTAAGAGCAAGCTGGCCTCCGAAATTCTTTGTCATTTTTCATTATTTTCCAGTTGTTACTGTCTCTTTTGTCTTTTAGAGGGAGTAGTCCTCAATGCGTGGAGGTTAGTAAATTTGTAAAAATCTAATACTACAGCTGATTACAATCAGGGTGTCTTTTGAAGATTTCTTCTTCCTCGCTCCATAAAAAAATTTTTTTTTTCAATTACAATGAAAACTATTGAAATACAGGATATACAATAATTTATAAGTTAAAATATGGTTAATTAATACGGCACTTACTGTAAAAATTCAAATCAATATTGGAAAACACAACATTTACTGTGAAATATTTTATTACAACAGCACTTTTAAAGAACCCTAGATTAAGATCTAGGATAAGAATTTTTTTCAAGTGGATAATTCAACTGCTATAAGCAAATTGTGACCAGAAGGTGCTAAAAATATATACATTATATTTTAAGAACAAATTGGAAAGTATCAAGAACTTTTAAGCCAACATGGTAAAAAATGTTATGACTGGCTTTTGTACACTGCCTTTTCCAATTTATTTTTTTGCTGAAAGAATTACGATATCCCTATGAGAATAACCTTTAACAGATGTTAAAGGTTTAGGTAACTTAAACATATTGTGTACTGTTTACATATTGAATACTGTTTCTTACTTTAATTATGCTTCCTTTTTTTTGTACTCATGTCATTTTAACAAAAATCATCTATACTTATGCATAAATAGCTATTATAATATAAAATACGCCATTAAATAAATTGCAAATCGCTTACACGTTTAGAATGCAAAACTACGATGTCTGGTTTTTTTCGTTTCATAAGACAGCTCTTGCATAATCTGTTACTATTACACAAGAATACCGCAAACAGTTTTGCAAGATACATTTTCTAACTTGTAAGGTTATAAAACTGATTTCATACCACACCTAGCCCGATACTAATTCATAAGAATAAAAAATATAAAATTCTTGTAATCTTTTTCCTTGTATGCATTTTTAAATAATTGTGTGCAATTTTAAACATTTTTATATACATATACATTCTGATTCATTACTTAAATTTGGAATGGTATGTTAGCATCAAACACGTATAGAAGCTATCGAAACAAACGAAAAACATTTAACGTACACGGTAGTTGTCTTCCAAAATATAAGTATCAAAGGTATGAATTGCAACTTTTGTACATTTAAGAGTTCTTATCATTAGTTCGCCAGAAAATTAGAAAAAATCTGGAAAGGTATGTTATAAGTATACAATAAAGCCACCTTATTTCGTTTGAATCACCGTACATGTTTAGTTAAGAATGATAAGTTGTGGTTTATTACCAATAACCCAAAAGCTTACATCTGTAAAACCATACTATAAAATAAAAACTTGATGTTTTAAAATTGATTTTAAAACTTTGCGAGTCAAAAGATGTATGTTACAAAACTGTTGCTGGTTTTCACTGGGTAATAATTACTTATACAAAAGATATCATGTAAAACATAAGACAGGACACCGTATTTTGTATTTTAAATGAACAAAAAATTTGCAGTTTATTAGATCATGTATTTTATATTATGATTACTAGTATTACATAAGTTCAATTGTATTTTTTTTATAAGACAGTATGAATACAGGATGGAAAATTGCATTTATTTGTTTTTTTTTTTTTACTGTAACCAAGTAATCGCAACAAATTTGCTATCGTTTACTACTTATTACAATTAAAAACCCATGTAATTAATTCTAACATGTTAAACTTGCTTAGGTATTTACATTCGTTGAAAGTCCAAATTTTCAATCTAAATCGAATCCCATTAAGATACATATCTTTAATTTATTCTGAGTTTGCAGTTATTACAGATTTTGATCTGTTTTGAATGGTTGATTTAGGTTTAAAAATGTATTTAAAGTAGACTCAGTTCACCCATAAATAGTTTACTAAATAAGCTCGAATCGACAATGTTTTTAAAAAATATAAAATGCTAGCGACAGTGTTTGATAAAAAATTAGAATAAAAATTCATTCTCTTAAGTGAACAAGAATGGAGCTTAGATATGTGTAATATTCTTGGTAAAAAAAATGCAGTGAAATGGATTTTTACTGAGCCCACGTTTAATTAAAAGTAGTTTACATCGTCTAATGCAGTTTCTAGTATCAAATTTTTATCCAATCACTAATTCTTCAAGTTGCTTTAGTGTACAGTTTTTAGCATTTTTTCTATTAAAAGAAACACTATAAGATTTATTATTTTACAAAATAACTGAAGTTGTGAGATGATTTTATTTATTTTTAATATACTAATAATGTACAGACCTATAAAAACGTACCTTTGGCAACAATGAGGCTGATAACTCCCACTAAATCAGCTAGGCATTGTTTTGTTGACACCTACCGTAAAATATTATCAACTTCTTATGTAAAAATAGTATCAATCGATAAAATTTATGTGTTTTAGATAAAGTTTATAAAAACTAAGTTTTGATGCTTAGCATTTACGTTTTTTAATTTTTTTATTCGACTTTTGTAATTTTTATTCAAGGTGTTCGTAATTAGTTTTTTTAACATGCCATCTTCTTCCTTACATGTATGATGTATGAACCACTTAAAAGTTTATTAGTCCCTTCATTTGGTTAAACATGGTACACTTTCTTAAAGTGAGAGACAACACACTAGAGATGCAAAAATTTTTCATTTTGCTATATGGGTGTGTAATGTACACTATACAGAATCCTAATTGATTCTTTGATAGTTTTTAACACATCGTATAAATATTACTAAGTCAATTCAAAAATTTAATTAAAAACTTTTTTTTCAATTTTACTGAGCTATTTACAATAATTACTTACGAACGCTAGCATACCAAATTTTTCATACGGTATATTCTGTTGCCACTCTATGACAGGTTTGGCAATGCGGAATAGTTCATCATCATATCCCCAAAGAAAATCTCCGGCTGAAACTTTAATAAATGCCTTAGCTTGGATAGTAGATAGGATTGCAGTTAATGATACTTGAGTTAGAAAACTCATATCTCTAGAAAAAGCCATTGCAGTGAATAATGGAATATTAGGTACAGTTATAACTTCATGGTCAGAATGGCCACTCTCCCAATGATAACTTCGCATTTCTTGATAAGTAATTGTCCCATCTAGGCCTATTTCTGGATTTACTCTGGTTAAATATTCTCTGTAAATATACGGCCCAACTTCTTCTACGTACAATTTACTTACTTTCTCAGCTTCAAAATCATCTACATTTGTATAATTGAATAATCGAACACGATAAACGGCATGAACTTTTGGCCGTTGCCACCATTCAAAGCTCAAAGTTCCATTTTTCAATTTTAAGTTTGAAATTATCGAATAATTAAAAAAATTTGTAAACCAAAATACAATACATAATCCAGCACTAGATATTAGCAAAAACAATAAAATCCAAATGATCCAATTACGTATTTTAAGATGCATATCTTTCAAGCTGTAGTTTGATTCTTTTATACATTTTTTTTTATCAAAGCTTGATTCTAGTGGCATCACTGCAACGAAGTTTAATTAGCAATTATATGATGAGAAAGAATTTGCATTAACACCTTAAGATAAAGTTCTTGTTCTAAAACAATTATTTTAAAAGTTGTAACTGTTTTATATAAAAGTTATTTACTTTCTTTACCAGATATTTTTATGATGAAAAATTATTGGATAAGAAAATTGGTACAATCCAAAAAATGTTCTTAATTTTTACTACAAGTCGAATACTTAAGTTCAAGAAAAATAATGAATGTTTGATACATGTGTGTAATACATAATGTAATACACAACTTGCTGAATGATTCAAGACTTCTCTTGACTGAGAAAAAATATTTTCCATTCCGCACAATCCTAATCATATTGATAACTTTAATCTTTTTTATCGCATTCCAGTTAGTTTGACCTCACATGCTACACATATGTAGGCTTAGATGAAGTAATGTTTATATTTAACATTAATAAAGTACCATTTTAAAAATACTCTATTATAGAGCTGAAACAAATTAAAAGTTTTTGTCATTTTTATTCAATTTCAGATTTTTGTGAAGATTTTGTTCATTACAAATGAAGAAATCTTCAAAATTAGACACGGTGTTGATTTTAAAAAGTATGAATCGTAGAAAAATTTTGTATGAACGTGTTTTGTATCTATTCAAGTCCCTAATGTAATTCATGCAAAAAGTAACTTTTTTTAGACAAAAATCTATAGTTAATATATATGTTGTTACCGCTATTGTAGATAAGTAGTTAAAAATGCATCAAAATGTGACATTTTATTTGCATGAATTAACTTTCGTTTTAGATAGCGATATTAACTTATTCAAAAATATGTGCGTGATTAGGAAGTACGAAAATTTTACTAAGATTCTTTAAAGTCTACTGTTACAAGAAAAATGTTACCGTATTTCATTTTCTAAAGTTAGACACATGTCACATAAGGTACGGAAAATGTATATCCTAGCTTAATAATCGATTTTTGTGCTCTTAGTGTTTAGGTAAAGTAATTAAGTTATTAATATTTTGAAATCTTTTAAAATGTCTACAATTTTTGTGAGTTCTACGATGCAAAGTTGTTAAGTATAACTAGTTATTTTAGATAGTTATAAAAAGGAATAGTAACCAAGGGAATCAGTAAATTGAAAATTCGGCATAATGAAAAACTAAATCTGTCAACAATCATATCTGTTTCAATGCCAACTATCTTTCGAAAAAAGGGAATATGGTTTATCTAACTTTTTTAAATTTATGGCAGGCTCCTTCAATAGTAAAAGCTGTAATAATTAAATGAGCTTTTAATTCCAAGAAGTTGCAATCTATAGATAGATAGACCAGATAGACCAACTACAGTCCAAGACGAAAATTTACAATAACGATATAAAAGTTTATTGCACACATACAATCGTAAGTAGAATGGTATTCATCGAAATTTCTATCTTTAACTTTCTATAAAGAGGTGCTGTACAATTATTTCATTTGAAAAAATAAATTGATTAAATAGCTTCCCTTCGATGAAAGACAACGAATACTTTTGTCCTCACTAGCAGAATGAGATACTTCAATTGTAAAGTAGTACATGTTATTTAAATGCAATCTAAGCATTTCGCTTACTAAGAATTTTGCATTTTGAGGTTATGTTGACAAATGTTCCATAAGAAATTCAAACTTCATGAACAGAAGTTGCGTTTGTTGGACTCAAAATACAATACTCTCATCATCAAAAATCAATTACATTTCTGTAATAAAAAGCTCAAAAACATATTCAAAATTTATTTTACCATACTGTTCTACGTTAGTAAAGTGGTTTTTTATTGCCTTTACCTTATGATATGCTTAATCTTTGTCTACAGTATTAACGATATGTATCAATGTTGCAATAACTTGCAAAGATTACAAAATTTAAAAACTTAAATGTTTTCATCTCTTATCATAAACGTATTCCTATTGATATCCACAAAGTTTTTATTTATAATTTATATAGATTCATAAGGAATAATTCTATTAAAATGATTAGATGCTCTACGACAATTTTTAGTGAAACTTAAAAGTTTTCTTAAACTGTTATTTTTATGATTATTATTATGTACAACAACTTACTAGAAATTCTGTCTTTGAAATAATTAAAGTCTCTAACAATATCAGCATTTCAATGAAAGAGAACTTTGATCGAAGGAATTTTGTTGGCTAAAATTGATCGAGTTCACATAATTATAAAGCATTTTAATATTTATCAGCATTTCTTTCTAAGTATTTCAAAACTTTTTTTTTAATATGATCTAAGACCACAGTAATCTTTTTCGACATTTTTTAAACAAGACAATACAAAATTAAAAACAGTTTGCGTATGTTATTCTAAAAATATCTTAAATTTTCGTTCTATGTTACTGGAAAATGTTAAAGATAGTCTGGATATTACTTAGTTTCTTATTTGGCCAATTGTATCTCGTTTTACTTTACTACACCATGTACCTAGTTGATAGCTATTTTATTGGATGTTTTACCATACTTAGTCTTATCAGTTTCGATCAGTTAAAGTATTACAGATGTTTGAAATAAGAAACTCTTGTACACTAAATCATACATTTACTTTTCAAGAATGACTGTGGTATGTTTTAGTTGAAGAGGTAAAAAAATTTAAATTCATAAGCTTGTTTGGTTAAGAAACCTTATGTCACGCTGCTCTACAGCACGTATTTTTAGCTTTTTTGACATAATTGCTTACAACTCCAAAAAAAAGCTGACTACCTTGGGGTCCTGAGGTATTTATTTGTGTAGAACTTCCCAAGCCTTATTGCTACATGTTACTTCTTACTTAACACTTACTGTAATTTTTGTTTTTGGACAACTAATGAAAAAAAAAAAATTGCTTTCTTTATAATTATTCGTTGCAGTAAGTTCTCAGATATTGTTCATTGAAAAGCAAGAGTAAGGAAGTGTCAAAAGATAAAAATTAAAACTTGTAAAATTCTTAATAAATAGGCACTTTAAAGTCTCAATTTAGTCATCTTTTTTTGGAATTACAAACAATGATGTTAAGAAAGAAAAAGCTTAAACATACTGCTAAAACACGTTTTGCAGAACAGTACAGCATAAGACTATTTCACTAAGCTAATTCTACAATTTTTTTTTTTAACATTTTGATCTGAAATTTTGTGTAACTTTCTGGAAAGATAAATACATTACACAAAATCGTAAAATTTCTGATTTTCGAAAATACAATCACAGTTCTTATATCAAGGTTTTAATTTTTTTCGTTAATAATCTAGTCTTACATAATTTGGACAAAAAAGTGAGAATCTGGACATCTAAGAAATGTTTGCTAAAATTGTCTGCCTGATTCGTTGAATATCTTTTGAGTGTAACTTGGTAATAAAATGTTCGTACTATAAACTATAAGGTACTGGAACCTCTTTAAGAAAAGGAAAAAAAAGAGATGAGAAATATTTTGGTTCTCTCATGAATAAATCAAGCCCAAAAGCAGCGGAAAGATATGAGACTTTAAAGCAGAAAATGATAACTCTGATGCTAGATAACGATGTTACTCAAATAATGTCAGATGAACATTAATATTAATCGATATTTATACTATTTAGATTTTCTGTACAAAGCAAAAAAGCCATTTTATTCATAACATGACAATAATATACAAATTCTTGCAAGATGTGGCAACGAAAACTCCTGCAAAACTCATTATATCCAGCTAATCATTGGGTAAAATTAAAAATTTATCTAATCAATAAGAAGTCGGTGTTCTAAGAAAAAACGTTAATACTCTCTAATTTCGATGATTGAGTGATAATGTAATGGGTCAATTAAAGCTCTAATTGAATACTTCAATAAGTACCTAAGCAATGGCTTCAATAGAAGCTTAAATCATCTAGTATGTCATTACTAAAGCATTAATATAGTCATGCGTTCCTCAAACTGCTGAGATTAAGAGCTATCCAACGTCAGTTTTAATGCTTAAGACAATAGTTTCACTATAAAATTAGTTGTGAGAGAAATGTTTTCTCTTTGAACTTTCCAAAACAGGTATCGCCACGTAAAACAAATCAGCTGATCTATAGAAACAGAGTATACAGTGTAATTTAAGCTATAACTATTATTACTAAGCATATGTTTTGCCTTACAATATTTAAGAAAGCCAAATGAATGTCTAAAACTTATAGATTATGAAAAAGTTGTATTTTACTAGACTTTTTCGAGAGTTGTAAGAGCGTTTTCATTCAGTTAGTTAAATCAGTACTATGTGTTTACTATATATATATATATAAATGCAATCTAAGCATTTCGCTTACTAAGAATTTTGCATTTTGAGGTTATGTTGACAAATGTTCCATAAGAAATTCAAACTTCATGAACAGAAGTTGCGTTTGTTGGACTCAAAATACAATACTCTCATCATCAAAAATCAATTACATTTCTGTAATANACCTCTGTATTTGCATACCAGCACACAACTACCCGGTCGAAAATTTCACCAGGCTGCCTCGGTAGTTAGAGGGGGCCTAAATAGGTTGCCTAGGTAGGCCCAAGGTAGGTTTTGTAACGGTGGAATTGGTAAGAACTATGTAGGATCTTAGCTAGGTATCTACCATCTCACTCTTTCATATGCTGTAGCTGCAGCTACAACAAATAGGTACAACTGATGCGAATGACAGCCATTTTGGAGCAGTGTGTGTGTGATTATTAACTGACATGTTAAGGGTTCTTTATTAAAAAGTTTAAAAAATTTTTTTCTTGTAAAATAAGTGAGACAGTGAAACGATCATTGTCATTAAGTAAGGAAAGGGTCAAGAGATATCGTGCTTTAAAACGTGCAATTGCAAAGGAGGAAGAAAAAGACATAAATGGCTCCAAAATTCGTGCAAATAATGATGGGAGTAGATAAGCTATGGCGATTCTGGCCCGGATGGGCTCCAGTCGCCAGGCGATTTCGGCCCACTCCCTCTCCGCGGCGAGCGGCCCCTCTTTTCGGGTGGAGTGGTCCCTGCTGCAGCCAATGGGCGAGCAGGAGCGGTGGCTTCCTCACATTCCTTGTGCGTGCGCTGCTTGAGGTTGCGTGCACCAGCTGCAGTGCTGCTTGAGTTTGCGCGTGCTGTTTGAGTTTATGCACAATGTGCATTAGCACCTGTAGCGCCGCGTGCGCCAGCTGGTGACGTGCAACGCAGTTTGATTTGGCGCGCGATGCAATGTGCGTAAGTCTTCTGCAGCACTGATTTACGCGTGTTGTTTGAATGTGCAAAACCGTGTGCAGCTTGTGCACGTGGTAGTTATATGCA